GCGCGATCTAATCACGAAGACAGTTGCCAAAGTGCGAGAGAAAGATCTCATGCATGCAGAGAAGAAGCGGCAAGTGCGGAAGGGGCAAGCGCGGAAACGGCAAACACCTATGGGTTTTACTCCATCGACATCGAGCGCATGGTGCTGTAGCACATGGGGTCACGAGTGCCTAAGTCAGGCAGGCCTAGTTAGCCATGAGCGAGGCCACTCGGGACCAGAACGGAAGAGACGACGTTTCCTGCAGAGAACGTAGGCAGAACCGGCGCAGCGTTCGTAGGTACGCTGCATTCGATTTACGAACCGCGTGCTTGCACGCTAAGTCTCTTTATTTCAAGTGGTGGGTTTGCCATTTCTTCCTAATTCGATTTTTCTTATATTAATTTCTACCTGAACTGTCTTCTATAAACTTTCACACGTTGCTTAAGCTAATTGTATTTAACTTCGATAACATTTTTGTTTCTGTGGCATTTCCTCAAAATATATTTTTGACATCTTGAACTTATCGCGGACTCTTTCGTAATTGAATTTTTAGCTACACGCATTTAGTGAAGAGCTATGTCACCGTATCTGTATGTATTATCCGATTAATTTTATTTCATCTTGTCGATTGTAGTGCTTGGCTATTGCATGACATCTCCGGTATGGCTGCGCTTGATGTGCTTGTTGACAAAGTGCCTACCTGTCTATTACCCACTACCTCGTCCATACTGGCTCCAGGAGACAGTTGCTCGTCGCTGGAGCAGACGGGGTGCACGGTCCTTGTCGTCGTCCTAGGCTCGAAAAATAGTTCCATGCACTCAGTGTGGAGCGAACTACGGTCCAGCCACTGCCTTGTGTGCGTTTGATTCTCAAATATAGCGTGCTTGTGTTTGCCTGTGAGGGAGTGTGGGCCGGCTCCGTTGATGAAACTTGGCTCCCATTCACATAACTCTTGGTCTTATTCCTTCAGGTTTCCAATAACTATGGGGTGTGTGGATGGAACTGTGCGTGGTGCAACGCAAGCCACGCATGGTCCCTCTGTAGGCGCAGGCGTTCTGTGCCTGGCCACAGTGACAGGCAAATCCGAAACGGGATGCCGCCAACAATATATATATATATATATATATATATATATATATATATATATATATATATATATATATATATATATATATATATGCCGCATGCTGAGGCTGATGTTGCATTCATGATGCTTCTTCACCGCAGTTGGGCTAAACCAACTTACACTTAAACTAGGTCTCTTTTTAAGCTGGATAAATTTCATTCCACTTCATTTGATTTGTTCTGTCTACCGGAATAATCTTCTATTAAATTTCCACGTTGCTTACGGTAATCGTGCTTATCTTCGTTAACTTTATTGCGTTTGTAGCATTTTCTGAGTCACTTCTGGACATTTTTTACTTATCGCGGATTCGTTGCTAACCAACATACTTCATATGCTAATTTAGGGAAGAGTTATGTCTGCATAGCCGTATACTTTAACAGATATATTTTATTTGTTACTGTTATTTCAAGTGATTGGCTGTTGTTTGACATCCCCGGTGCGGCTGCGCTTGATGTGCATGTTGACAAGGTGTCTACCTGTCTATTACCCACTACCTCGTCCATACTGTCTATAGGAGATAGTTGGTCGTTGCTGGAGGGGACGGGGTGCACGGTCCTTGTGACCGTGTTTGGATCAAAGAGTGGTTCCATGCACTCAGAGTGGAGCGGACCACGGTCCAGCCACCGCCTTGTGTGTACTTGATTCCCCAAATACAGCGTGCTTGTGTTTGCCTGTGAAGGAGTGTGAAGTGGCTCCGTTGATGAAACGTGACTCCCATCCACATGCCTCCCGGTCTTATTCCTTCGGGTTTACACTGGATATGGCGTGTGTGGTTGGAGCTGTGGGTGGTGCAGCGCAAGCCACCCATGGTCCCTCTGAAGGCGTGGGCGTTCTGTGGAGACCACAGTGACAGGCAAATCCGA